TGCAACAAAACTCTGTAGTTCCGTATGCTTGGAAGTAAGCGACAATGTTTTTCTCCGCAAGGAACTTCTGAGGTTAGCTTTTCGAACATAGCATCACGGACATGGTAACTGGAAACGCGCTAGTTGTGCAAAACAACTCTGTCGCGAATGGGGCACAGGTGGGCCTTGAACTTTTTCGTGAAGTGTGCTCCTAATTACTTTCGTCAGGTTCTCGAGGAGTGTGATACTATAAACCAAAGATGCCAAGCTTGGTTTTTCATCGCCAAGGAACCCATTCCTGGTACCAACTAGTTGCTATCCAGTATATCGAAGTGGTTGCACCGAATTTGAAGAGTTGAGAAGAGCCGAGGCATATTGACTTTATGACTGTGACGTGTGTGTTGTTAGTACTACCAACAAGTGATCAATGTCTTCTGGGAATAGTATCGCTATATCGTCATCAAAGTTCCAACGAGCTTGGAATGAGTTCCGCATCGCAAAACGGAGTGCGGCGCCGGCTTGACGGTACGCATATGCCTGCAAGCCCTCTTGCTCGGTAGTCTTCTCCAATGAGCGCAGAGTTGTGCGCTGATACCACCAGCAGCTTTGCCATTCCAGAAAGGCCAGTACTCGTCTCATTTCTTCGATCAGCAACTCTACCTCCTCGGACCATCGAGCTGCGCGTGCGCGTGCCTTACACCATTCGATACGAACACCTACTACATAAGCAATCCGAGTCAGCTGTTGATTGCATCGACTAGAAACACTCACAGTCTTGGCTCCATCAGTTAGTATGGATGGGATACATGTCTGAACTCGTAGGGCTCTGGCCTCCATCTTCCGTTCCAGTTGCCGAAGCAATGCCTAACGCATCATCAATGCACCCAAAGCTGGTGAAGGCCGACTTCCACGGTTCTCCATTAACAGGTATTCAAGTCCAGTCGTTGTTTGCTCATAAATTACATGTTCAATTCACTTCCCAGTTCGTCAGAGCCAGAATCCTTGTTTAGTCGGCCTGTCTGGTATCGTGATCCACGAAACTGAGCACGCTGTCAAACTAATCACTCGCAAAGATCAATTCAAATGTGAATAAGTACTCTCATTTCTCGCCTTTCAGTGTAGTTGTAACGCAAAAATTTAGTGATTCAGAAACATTCACGCTGGCAGTTCCCCTATACTCTACATTGCTCCGAGCGCAATTTGAGCCAGCTGAAGCTGTCAGCTCTGCGTTGAGTGGTCAATGTTCAGGAACCGTCCTGGATGCTCCGCATATCGCCTTCGATCTGTATGGCAATTAATTCTGTTTTCGATCTGCAGATCGTGCGGGTCAGAAGTTCAAGGCAAGGGTCGAAGACATGGGCACCTGATAAGCGTCTTCTCATCTATGATAACTGTTCCGCCGTATTCCTACAGCATCTCACATCCTCCGATACATTGTCAACCAGATCCAGCCTGGTATGCCTTTCCCCAAGCGAGTTCCTGAAATCTGCAGAAGCATTCGGAGTTGGAGATAGCAAGTGAATGTAGGATACTAGCCATACTTGTCGTACAAAGATAGCACACCCGCGCCGGTCACACCACGAAGGATATTTGCACCTGCCTCAGCTTTCACATCGTGCGTCTCAGATCGTTAACTATATCCCTTCAACGTACTTGACCTACCGAACAATGACTTTACACCCTCTTTGGCCATGATATGCCTTCCGGCCTCAATAAATGACCTGTATTGTACCTATACCCATTAGTAAGTGGAGACGTGCTCAGCATATGGGCAAGGTGGTCTACCTTTTCCCCGGACGTCGTCATCATCCGTCTCCTGATGGTGTCAAGCGGGTATGCAGCCAATGCCGCTCCCTGGAGACTCATGTTCAAGATCATCGTACTATCATCCGTCATAGGATTCGGCTTGGCCGTTCCAAACCCGCCACTTGCTCGGGCGCGCAAGATTATCATCCATATTGACAGGGATCTTGGTGGCACCACGGTCCACGGACACGATATAACGATACCATTCCCAGAAGACAACAATACACACGTCACAGATATATATTACATAAAGTCAATGTGCCTCGGCTCTTCTCAACTCTTCAAATTCGCCGACGTTCACAGCCCAGGAGCAAGGTGCAGTCTCCGAGCATTTCAACCACTTCGATATATCAGATAGCAACTAGTTGGTACCAGGAATGGGTTCCTTGGCGATGAAAAACCAAGCTCCGCATTTGGTGTTTATAAAATTACACTCCTCGAGAACCTGACGAAAGAAATTAGGAGCAAACTTCACGAAAAAGTTCAAGGCCCACCTGTGCCCCATTCGCGACAGAGTTGTTTTGCACAACCAGCGCGTTTCCAGTGGTCATGTCCACGATGCTATGTTCGAAAAGCTAACCTCAGAAGTTCCTTGCGGAGAAGAACATTGTCGCTTACTTCCAAGCATACGGAACTGCAGAGTTTGGTTCTAGACTCCACGAATGAATCGAGTTGCTGGTGACAACGCTGCCATTGGGGGTGTCGGCCTTGTTTGCCGGATCGAAGGAAAGCAACGCGCCAGTCCCATAGGACTGTATGGTCGTCCCACACGATTCAGTGCTCGATACGTTCCACTGCGAAGAAATCAGGATGCATTAAGGAAGAGCGTGGAGCAAACCCACAATGTCATTTCCTAAGTGATTTCCAACACTATTGACGATGTCGGTCTGGAAACCGAGCACATTCAGGTAGGTTTGCGTCTGGGCATTCATGATAACATATGAGCCTGTAGGAATTGCGGGGGCCGTCATGTTGGAATAGTACTTGAAGAGTGCTTCGTTGTAGAAAAGAAGAGCGAAGAGCATGCATGATTTTATACTTCGATGATCACGAAGGACATGTGATTGTGACGCTCAAGAATGCCCTGGTGCGCACATGTTCATGACATACTGAAGCAGATAAGTTCACTCCGCATTTTTGGGGACCTGTCGATGACTAGTATCAGATGACATCTGGTGCTCGGCGCTCCGCATTCTAGGGGGAACGTTCCAAAATTCTGACACCGTGTTGTCTCCCTGATGCCACGAACACGATGACATCTGGTGCTCAGCGCTCCGCGTTCTAGGGGGAACGTTCCCAGATTCTGACGCCGTGTTGCTTCCCTGATGCCACGAACACCATGGCACAGAATTCTGGGCGTAGTGCATGGCCAATCAGGCGAACCATGTTATCTTCTCATCTCTAGAATAAGGAGGCTCATGTATTGGGCATCAAATGAATGAAAATAGTGTACGCACCTCTGCAGCTTCGAGGAAGAGGTCATCCATTTCCATATTCCCGAGTTATTCTTCTGAGTTGTGCACTGCCCTATGGGGGGAAGAGTGAAACTTTGTCTGGTGAAGGGTCTAAAGCCTCCATGAATGGCGAGGGAGGGTATTCTGAAAATAGACAGATAAGCATCAGGCGCGCCTGAGGCCTGTTCGAGAGCGAGTGGGAAGGAATGTTGATCGGAGATCGAGTGTCTTCTGTTGGTGGCACATTATCAAGTTAGGTATTACATGTCCAAAAGGCTGGTCTATGTTTTGTTGAAGGATATGTCCGAATGATCACAGCGCCAGGGTACCACGAACTCCCGGTGACCCGGTCAGCCTCCGTCATCTCAGCAGCATCTACTCGCAAATTCTCAACCTATACCTGCCCCCTCTGCACCGACCAGAGGAGCCTTGATCTGAAAGGCAATCCGTTCTTCCTCGTGCACAGACCGCAAGTCCTTATTCTGTCCAGAGTCCTGCAACGGCGCCAACTGCTGCATCGCTAACTGCATTTCATTATAGCGCGGATTCCCAGAGTTCTGGAAAGGCATCCGGGCTCGGCGAAACACATCGCGATTCGCGCCCATTAACCTGTATTCGGATTCTGGTCTTTTTGGAATTAGCGCATCTTGCCATCACATGAGAGAAGTTTGTCACCTCAACTTCCAGAAGATCTTTTCCTTGTAGTGCAAGCCGAGTTCATAGCTCTTGACTTCGGTGCCTGGTCCGTCGAGTTTAACCCTTGCGTCTCCGGCGATAACATCGCCGGGAACCATGTCAGGTGCTCTCACCCAGGCATGTGCCTGACAAGACGGCCGGGGCGGTGCATAGCCTGGCTTTCTGTGGAATCTTAGAGGGTTAGTGAACATAAGGACGCCGCTGTCAAGGCAAGCACAACAATACTAGCCAGCGTAGCATTTCTGAGACAGTATGGAGACTCGATCGTATCCAGATGTCCTGACTTTGTAGTCGATGACCGCGTCTCTTTGAGAGGGCACGTGAGGAAAAGGGACATGTACATCTTTAGCTACGAGTGCTGTTCATCATGGACCAGTGCTGTCAACATGGGCCTGCGCGATGTGAGGACACCAGCAAGTCACCTCTCACAAGGCCTGAGCAAACATCCTTCAGTCATTTGGCTATCATTGGATGAGGCGGTGAAGCCACAAGAAGTGTTATAATCAATAAATACCTTGTTGACAGGCGCATCTCCTGTCGTGAGTATTCCATGTGACTGAGACGTTGTGGAGACCCACCCGATTCAATGGCGGAGAATATACGCCAAACAAGCCATTCTTAGGACAATAACACTGGTAGTAGCAATGAACCAGAAACCAGGAACTGTGAACTAACTTGTTGTTGTGAAAGCGCACATTATGAGATTCGAGTCCAGGCCACTTGTAAGTGCACCAGATCAAGAAGATAGTACTAGCTCATGGCCCACGGGCCAGACATAGATGCGATAGGGTATAGCAACTACCCCGTCCTCTGCGGCCCCTTGAGCAAATTTTCCAGTGTTGCGTGGAACTATTTGCATCTGTACCGGAACTTTGAGGCGCTAAGAGTCAGATAGTCATTAAATGACACTCAGGATTTGCGCACGCTAGCCAACAAGGTTTTTATAGATTTGGCTCGTCCAAATGGCAGATATCATGTAGTGAGGAGAGCAAGCATGCTGGAAGTGGAAGGGAGGTCACCCAACGTCTAAATGCTATTATTTGGTGTTATTTCTCCCATCACAAGTCTCTGGTAGTATGATATCGGATAGTACACCCGCCTGTCATCACAAGATGGATGCAGGAAAGCGGGGTTCGATTCCCCGCCAGAGAGTTTTTTCGGACACCGACCTTAGGGTGAATGCGATTTTTTATGCAGACTCCAGTTAATTAGCACATGACATGGCCATGGGCTTCTTGTACAAATTTTCCATAGCTTCCAAATCCTCACAGCAGCTCGATTTTTCCTACAGATTATACAGAACGTATCTCATCACTTCAGGAATTCAAGTGGATAACAAGTTATCAAGGATGCGTCGGATAAAACGACGGTATAAGGAAAGAAGTCCTAGTGATTTGTGGTGAACAAAACGGGTAACATGATGATGGCGATATGCGGATGCTAGCTGAACGGGATATGCACGGGTAGCGCGAAATGAACAGAGCGGTGACCAGTAAAACAGCGTGATGCAAGCGAGAACAGAGCAAGCAACGATGGATCCGGGGGTGTCCGGGCGGGTACTGGTGCATTTGCGCGAATCGACAAATCGAGCACGGCAGACAGCGAGCGAGATGCGTAGAGCACTGAGACAGCAGCGTGACAGCGACAAATCGAGTGCAGAGCAGGAGGCATAGATGTGGCGCATAAACAGGCGGGTGTGGAGGGGAAAACGTATTTGATAATCATAGAATCAACTCATAAAGAACAAAATCAAAGAACAAAAAACGAAGTTGGCGTCGTGGAATGGTGTGATGGTTGTGTTGCACAAAATTAACAATGATCATGATGCTTGTGTTATGGATATGATGCAGGCGGGGATAGATAGTATGGGTGTCCGTAAAATGGATATGCGTTTTGGGTGAGTAATAGCCGTGATGATGGAGATTGAACGAAGGGGTATAGACCATGCGCGTCGCCGGCCTTATGAGTTTTCATCCTCGTCACCGTCCAAGCCTGCTGCCGCGAGCCGCTCCATTTCCGCCCGATTTCTTGCACGAATGGTTGGCAACTCGGCTAAAAGAGACACCTGCTCGCCCTCTTCCCACCGCTCTAGAGCCCACTCTCGAACGAGTACGCTCACCTGCATGATGACTAAGTTACCTACCATGCATGCGCAGTTCATTGAGGCGTACCTTCATAAAGCGCTTGCCAGCGTATTTCTTGTAAAATGATTCGTGACGGATGGGTTTGAGAATATAGTTAAGCATTAGGTTGGCGGTCGGAATTATGGAGCTTTCCGCATACGATGAGTAATGGGCATGATTAGGAGTCTAGAATTCGGAAATGTTATCAACGAGATCAAAATGTGGCACACACTCCACTTACCCATTTATCGTTGCCAAGAATGAGGCGTCCCAACCAGGTTGCCGCAGCAGCAACCAGGGAAGGTGGCGTGGCCAGCAAGCGCCACTCCAGTGTACCCACTTCTAATAAATACTTCCCCATCGTCCTCGATTTGACATCGTAATCATCCGCTTTGCTTATACGGCGCAGGAAGTGCATTGGGTTCGGGTAGCTCAAGTTCCAGTCGATCGTTTTCAGGACGTACCGCTCTGCGAGAAGGATCTCGGATTCAGTGTAGGATGAATCCGCGCAGTGAAGGAAGTGCGAGACTGATGGTGCGACAATCTCTTCGACCTTGGAAGCAATGAAGAGACACGTAATGCCCACGAGCTGAAGTTTAGCAAGGGAAACGACGCGTGCCGACAAGAACCTATCGATGATGTTCACGCAGAGGAAAAGGGTCTCAGGAAGCAATCGGAACCGTGCATGTACTTGCACCAGCCAATCGAGAAGGATTCCACGCATCGACCAGGCCAGCTCTTTTTGCGATGCCATGTATTCCGGATTAGGAAGCGTTATAAGCTGAAGGTGGCTCATTAATTACAACAGGATGATAAAAATATTCGGGGACTCGTACCTCGGTCAGCTTCATGTACTTGAAGATCTCGACAACATATTCGCTGACCATCAATGGATCATCGGAATCCTCAGCATCGAGGTCGTCCCACTCGTCACCATCGGGGTCAGCTTCTGGTGCCACATCGATATCAAGAACAGCCGCCACTTCTGCCTCGTGTTGCGCTTGCTCATCTATGTCGGTCTCAGGAGCATCAGAAGACGTTCGCCTCTTCTTAAACACACGATCGTCTTGAACTTCCTCCTGTGGCTCAGCCTTTAAGACTAGATGCGAAGAAGTTCGTCGAGCAGTCTGAACACGTTGCACCTCCTGGGTGATCACCTGCTGGGTGTTCGCCCCCGACCTGCGGGTTGAAACGCGTCGCGAGGGCTCAGGAGCCGGTGGGTGATCATCCACAGCCATCGCGTCTTCATCATTGACTACGGGTTCCTCCTTGACATCTTTTAACGGTTTCACCTCGGGAGCAATCGCAGACCGTGTAGTGCGACGAGTGGGGGCGGAGATCTGTCTCAGGGCGATAGCGGACTTCGCCTTAATCACTACGCCATCAAATGTTTCCTTGGTCGGTGGGGCTACTTCTTTGCCTTTGCCCTTTCCGTCCTTAGTAGCTGTGACAGTGGCCTTATTCTTGTTGATGTTCTTAGTCGTGACTTCGCCAAGCGCCTCACGCTTACGCTTTCCTTGGAGAGCAAGATCGACCTTGTTTTCATCGTTGGCCCCGATTTTGGCACGAGAGGCCGCGGTAGCGCCCAGGGCCCTGGATTGGAGTGTGGCGGTGGGAACAGGAATGACAGACGTGGATGGGGGCTTCACACGAGAGATAATACGAGATGGGCGGGCATTGGCGTTCTCGCTGTCCTTCTGGACTGCCGTACGGGTAACCCGCGTTACACGGCGAGTCTGGAACATAACATCGATCAGCGACAAGCCCATCGATGACGACCAAAAATCGATGAAGCATGGGACTCACTGGTAAGTTGGAAGACATTAGCTATCTAATTGACGCAGAAGGTACTCTATCTGTGCGTGCAGTAGCTAGATGGATGAAATGTAAAACGAAGAGCGAACGGAAGATGAGAGGAACTACTTGAACTATTCCAGAAATGGCCATTTTAAATTTCAACCATCCACACATAACACAAACAAACAAACGCGTTCGCGTTTCATCACGTGACAATTGCCATTGTCCACGCACACGAGAGCGCTTGTCTTTGGACACAGTTCAATATTATCGTTTATTATCAGTGGATATGCTGCGCCAGTTTGATTGTGGTCGGACGAATATATTCACACTCGCATTATGGAGACAGAGATCATCGTGGCGTCACGCGCACCTCGTGACTGCCGCATGTTTTCCAGATGATATCGGTTGTCAAATTCCCATCAATGCGCTGGCGTAAATACATAACTGATAACCAATCTGCGCTAGTGCGGATCGCTTGAACTTGGACCACTTGCAACTTATATTACCTGGTTAATCTCGAAGTCTAGTATCGCAGGCTGGCTCGGCTCATAGGTCGCAAGAGTAAATTATAATTCATGACAATCCGAATGTATTACAGCACCGAGGAAGCCGAGTACAGGATCTGCCTAAATACTATCACTAGAAGACTCCAGTCCGAGAGATCCGCAAGTCCAAGAGAAACATAACCACCTATAGAGTTTCCCGTGCCACTTTAAAGGGCAAACGTGGAAGACAGATATAAGCAGCAACGAAACCCAAGGAAGTACTTCACCTCATCAGGATCCCCGAGGGAAAGCATCCCAGCCGAACGATGCAACCGGAACCAGGACCACCGCAAACCACAGGAACAGCCTGTTAACCAAAACACAAGCCCGCGACCGACTGCAAAAAGAAAGAAATGATACGACTGATAGGAACTTGGAAAGACAGGGAAAGGAGAAAGAACATATCGGGGAAAGAAACTCTGCAAACAAGACGCACTGCCAACTTGATACATCAACATTCTTCGTGCTTCCGACGAGTCTTGGGCGTCGCATCATCCAGATCCAGAGCCAACTTCCGCTTGGGGGACGCTTCGTCGAAAGGGGCAACGATGGAGCTAGCAGAAGGCCAGGAAGGACGGATGATAGGAATACCGAGACCACGACGGGTAACGAATGGACGATGACTGATATCAATAGGCTGGTGGATACTGGCATACACGGAAATCGCATCCGCGAGGGGTGAGCCCGGAACGACGTCGAATACAAAATCCGTGCATTCTGAGTCAAAACACGGAACCCAAAAGGGCGTCGTAAAAGAAGGAGAAAGGGGTGGGGAAAGTGAAGAACGTGGGGAGGACGGGACTGATGTGTGAGGTGTGTCAACCTCAGAAGGCAGGGACACTATAAAGACTACAATTAGCCATCAAAAATGGCAGAAACCGACAAAATCTCACTGTCAAAGTCATCTGTGGATGCCATCGAATAACACGAAACCGAGGAAGTGATGGACTCGTCGTCAGAGTCATCGTCAAATGCCGAACGACAGCCCTGATCAGCCGGCGGAATTTCGAATACAGCTTGAACTGCCACTTCGGGCGCTTCCTCCTCTTCTTCGATGACTGAAATCGCGATTCCTTGACGAGCAGTAGTTTTAGCGCCAACCACAGCAAAGAGGCAAACGACTGACCAGTTCTCTTTTCTACCTTGGTTAGCTCAGCTCTGATCTCCACAAACTGGCGGAAGTATTTCTTGTTCTCCTCCTCCAGTCTGCGGCAGGCACTGTTGGCCGCTTCAACCTGATCCCAGAGACACGAGCGCTGCGCGAGAAGCTGCTTGACATCCTCTTGCAACCCTGCATTTTCATCTGCGCGACAACGCAAAGCTGCGCACTGGTCCCTAAGACCAACAACCTCTGTGTACGCGAGAGTAAGGCGTTCCCTCATCGCGATATTTTGATCTTCGCTCAAGGAATCGGTACCTAGGAGGGCGCATCAGCAAGGATAGTTGGGGCGAAAGGAAGACGTACTGCTCGAGGTATTAACGTGGGGTATAACTTTCCCGTCAGGAGATATTATCTTCAATTCAGGTATTCCTGTTCGCGAGAGTCAGAAGACAGCGAAGAACATAGAGAAAACGTCTCACCTGCAGCTGCTCTCTTCAACTTCCTAAGCTCCCTCTTCGCTCCTTCCAGCTCCTTCTTCGTCCGGACGAGTGTTCTTTGTAACGCTTGGACTTCTTCATTGTG